AGCAGCGGCGTATTTGTTCGAATCGCGAGCTCCAGTACCCAGTCCCACGACGAAAAGTCCCTTGACTTATAGAGAACAAACACAGGGAATAGAGAAAAAATGGAAAACATAGTGCATTTGGGCCCCACCCTTTTAAAAATGGTCCCTTTTGGATGACTTTTCTTTTAGGGTAAATTAAAATTTTCACAACTAAACTTTATTCTCTTTTATTTTAGTTATTCTACCGTCAAATAATTAACAACGATGACCGTTTTAAAGAAAACAAATTTTTACTAAAATGATTTCATTTTTCATCTATATAACTATCATTTTAATTTTGTTAATTATTTAACGGATGAGTAACAAAAAAAACTTAATGTATTAAGTTTAATAAAAAAATTGAAAAAATATACTTTATAATGAATAAAATAAGAAATAGAATAAAGTTTAGTTATCAAATTAGAATAATATTACGACAGAATGTACAGAGAATATTCATGTTTCAGTGTTTCTTTCATTCTGAAAGGATACACTGGACTTTTGAGGTCATATATAATTGTTCATGGCTTTGTGGACACGTAAGCAATGACATAAACCATCTTGTCCTTGGTCAATGAAATCAATTTTATGAATGTGTGTTCTAACTGAGAGAACTATGCATTTGGGCCATTCAATTAACAGAATTTTCACTTTGTTCACTGAGAAATATTTTTTGCAAACAGGTCACTAAAGTTAAATATTGCAAGTAGAGCTGTAAATGTAAGATGAGACAAAAATAAATGACCGAATTATGTCTCAAAAAATGTTTTAGTGCTTAAAGAATTTTTCGTTAAAAATAAGTGTCTAACGTTTTTTTAGTTATACTTTTAGATGCTCATCGTTTATTTTTTTTTAAAATTTAATAATAAAAATATTGTTTTTCGTTAAAAAAGAAAAAATTATTTATAAAAAAACCTCATTATAAGTGAAATTATATAAAACCATAAAAAAACTAAAATCTCTCATTTTAACCCTCATTACCAACCATCGTCGGCCATCTCTGACAACCATCATCATCGTCGAATGGTCACTCACCTGTCGCTATCCACCCATTGATCAATCTTCATTCTTACCGTGACAAAAAATCCTTAAATCTAAAACCTCCAAAATCCAAATCTCTAATTATCAATTTCAATTTCCTAATCCAAACGGTTGTAGGCCATCTCCAGTCGTCATCGTCAAAAGGTTGGATTTTGATCGAAATTGGACGGTGGTTCGAACGGTGGCAGCAGTGTGGCTTGTGGACGGCGGAATCGATTGGAATTGACGAAAAACGAAGGTGGTGACTTAAAATATGACGAAACTTTGAACTCTTCTCCATGACAAACGGTAGCATATTACGACGAAAGATTAACGAGAGTTTGATCAAGGTCGACGTTGGTGTTGATGACGGTGACAATGACGATCATCGCTGATTGACTGACGACTTTTGGAAGGAGGGAGGGGGCCTATTGCACATGGGGAGTTTAACAAAAATATATTTTTATTTTTAAAAAAAAAAATTAAAATTACCAAAAAGTGACATGTCTCACTTAACAGAGATATTTAATGGCGGTTAACGTCGGGTACCTAAAAAACATAATGTTTGAAACATTAGGCACCTATTTTTAGCGAAACATTTTTTAGGCACTAAAATATTTTTCGAGGCATAGCTAAAACACTTATTTTTGTATTAATCCTATTTATTTGTTCATGGCTTTGTGGACACGTAAGCAATGACATAAACCATCTTGTTCTTGGTCAATGAAATCAATTTTATGATTGTTTGTTCTAACTCTGAAAACTATGCATTTGGGTCACTCAATTAACAGAATTTTCATTTTGTTCACTGAAAAATAATTTTTGCAAACAGGTCACTAAAGTTAGATATTGCAAGTAGGGCTGTAAATATGAGATGAGACAAATCGCGAGTTATTTGAGATTGATTTGGTTAAAGTTCGATTAACTCTCAAATCGAATGAACTTAACTTAAGTTTGGACTCAACTCAAATTCTAAATGAGTTGAACCGAGTTACTTGATATCCGACTCAAAAAACTCATGAGTAATTCGAAAGAATAATTTCTTAGATTTTTTAATTAAATTATTAATAATATTGGCACTTATATGTTTTACTTTTTTTAAAAAACGGGATATAAAGTTTTCATGTACTTAAGGTTTAGGTTTGAGTTCGAGTTTGAACTTCAATTGAGCTAAGTTTGAGAATATTTCAAATTCAAGTTTTTTCAAGCTCGAATCGAGCTTCAATTTTTTATTTCGATCCAAAAACTTTAAGCTTGTAAGTTTCGAGTTGAGTCAAGCTTCAATTTTTTTTTTTTCATTTCGAGTTAGAGTCGAGCTCAATTTTACACTTCTCAAGTTAAGCCAAACTAAACAATACTCAAATTTGACTATCTCATTTACAGCCCTAATTGTAAGAAAGTGTCAAGGACCAAAAAGGCACTTGCAACGGGCAAAGCTAAATATAGAATTATTAGTGTAAAGCTCACGACGGGAGGTTAGGTTTGACATGGGGGGAGACACTGGAGAGGCCCAAGGCATCCAGTAATTGCTACCAATTTGGAAAGTCTGAAAGAAAATCTGTGCCAGCAATATTAAAGGCACAAGAGAGCCGGCCGTGATATATTTTCAATACATCACAAACCCCACTTTTCCTTTCCATTCTGAAACTTCCCGTAAACGCTTTCTGTAGCATCATCCCCTTCAGGACCTTCACCAATGCTTTGTTCTGCAACAGTTCCGGTCTCAGCTGCATCAATGGTTGACAATGCTTTCTCATGTGCACCCACAAGTTCCATAAAATCCTCCCCTCAACTCAGAATGCATTATACACTCCAGCTTGTGTAATCCTTCCACGTCCTGATAAATATACAGCCTAAATCCGGTTAATTACAATATTTCATGAATCCAGGACAAAATTACTGAAACTTAAAGAGCTTACCAAGATAAGATCAGAAGCTGTTAAAAATTCAACTTGATGCCCGTCTACGCAGCAAAACTTCTTGTCATTCAAAGAAAAAACGAGACTTATTGTGCTACCTCAGTAAAACGAAGTCTTATTTTTTTAAAGTACTGAATTTAAGTAACTATATCAGTAAATTATGTATGCGTCTACTGTCAATTGCTTAAAAAATTCTAAAAGATGATGCTATATTACTCTCTCCAAACTAATAAAAAAGAAAGAAAATGAGATACTCAAGCAGGACACCGACAGAACAAAAATCTTCTACCCTTTTGTATACCCTTTTCCCGCCCATAATTTTTTTTTTTTTTGGATAAGTAGAAGTTTATTCATCCAAAAAGAAGCAGCAAGCTGCTACAAATGACAATAAACAACCTAGATTAGTCCCCAAGCTAGGCTCAACCTCCTATTAACATCATCCATCCTATTCATATGACATCTATACAATTTAATTCTATCATACTCTCTAATGCTATTTACAATCGTATCAGCAGAACGAATCACACCACGAAAATGCCTACGATTACGTTCTTCCCAAAGAAAATAAACAAAATCAGTCTACGCGAGCTTTAGAATATGAACAAGGAGGGATTTACCCTTCAAGTTCGAAATCATCCAGTGCATGGCATTATCCCAACAGGTTAGCAACTGTAATTGGAGACCGCAAGCATGCAAAATGGCTTTCCATATCACCCTTGCAAAGGAACATTCCAAGAATAAATGGTTCCGAGATTCTTGATTATCACCACACAAACCACAGACATTAACAGTGACAATGCCAAACCTTGCTAACCTGTCTTTGGTTGGCAATCTATCGAGGATCACCATCCAAGCAATAATGGAGAATTTTGGGATATGTGATGGGAACCAAATAAGCCTATGCCACCCAACCTTATCCCTCCTATCACAGATACGATCCCAAATCCAACCACCCTTGATCTGTGGCCAAATAGAAACTGAAATGAACAATCTCCTAGCCTCCTCTCTAAGCTTAATCAGCTTGTTGAGGATCCAACTGAAATGGGGTTTTCTGTCAACATTCCAATAGTCCAAAGATTTAAAGCAGTAATCTTTAATCCAAGCGATCCACAAGGAACCTTCACCTGCCAAAATGTTCTTTACAAGCATCAAGCAGCAAGCCTTACTCCAATCAACTAGCCTCCTTAATCCCAGACCACCCTCAGATTTTAAAGAACAAATCTGACTCCAGCTCACCCTGGCACCTCGAGCTGTAGTATCACTACTCTTCCAGAAAAATCGCATACAGAGTTTTTCAATATCATTAACAACCCCTTTGGGTAGGATAATCTGCCTACTCCAATAACCAAAGATGCTGGATAAAACAGATTTGACCAACTGCAACCTCCCACCAAAACTAAGCTTCCTGCTCGACCAATGATCGATCCTATTCTTAATTTTCACAAGGAGAGCCGAACAATCTTTACTAGTAAGCTTCCGAGTAACCAAAGACACTCTCAGATACCTGACTGGAAGTTGCCCAATTTTAAAACCAATGGCACTTTGTATTTGATCCAGAAGACTCACAGGAACTCCACAAACAAAGAGTTCAGACTTCAAAGCATTAAGTCTTAAACCTGAGAATTCATAAAATTTCTCTAAAATGCTAACCACCCCTAATATTGAGTCCAATAAACCATGGCAAAACAAAAGCAGATCATCAGCAAAGCATAAATATGTGAGGGAGGTTTCCTTGCACTTTGTGTGAAATCTAAAAATACCATTCTTAGCAGCCACATTAAACGAGAAGAGGACATTCATCACAATTACAAAGAGATAGGGGGACAGAGGGTCCTATTGTCTAACCCCTCTAGCACCTTCAAAATATCCCACCAAACTACCATTTAAAGCAATTGAATATCTAGGGGTGGTGACACAGGCCCACCAATAAATTAATGCCATGTGTATTGATGAATATTATTTAATTTTAACAGAATTGTTCCGTCAGTTTAATTATATTTTAACTTTTATTCTTTTTGCAGTCGGCTAATTGTCCGTTTTCGATTAAGGACCATTTCTTCTCTAAAGTGAGAAGCTTCAACCACCCTGTTTGAGGCAACTCACTTGATAATCCAATTCCTCAACAGTCATTTGATTACAATCTTCTTCTTTGGTTGGGATCGATCGATTTAGTACCCCAAAATTTCAAGTCCTGAACCAAAAGAGGAAAACAAGAACCTGTACTTCAACATGGTAACGTTTATCTCGGGCTCTTTAAGCTTTTTTGAACTCATTTCAACATAATTTATGGCTTGAGTTGAATATATTTTCAGCTTTTCAAGGCCAGGAGGAGTCTACAAAGCAAGCATAGTTTCCCATCGTCGAAGCTTAGCCATCTCCAGGTAGATAATTGCATGATCCTTGTCTGTTTTCTCATGGATCTGTTGCTTGAAATTTCAGTACTTATTACAATCATTTCATCATAAAAAATCTGTAAAGAATCAGTTTATATGTCGATATTATTCGATGACGCTTTTAAAAAAGGAAAGAGCAGATTAATGTCTAGCAATATTCCATCTTGGATCTAACTTTGGTTAACCTGTGAACTTGTTGCTTCTGTTGCAGTATCCATGGCAGACAACATAGTAGCTTCTTGTTTCGCCGGAGCCGTGACTCAAGCAGATGCAGATATAACTAATTATGCTACAGCCAAAGTCGGTTTATCAAAGTATGAAGAAAAGCTTTTAATTATTATACAAAAATAAAAGTTAAAATATAAGTAAACTAACGACACATTTCTGTTAAGTTAAATATTCTCTTCCTATCATTATTTGTGTATGATATTGACCGAGAAAATATATTTAACCTAGAGAAATGACAAAATTATCTTAAAAGGGAATTGATAGATTTGACATATTTGTTTTAATAGGTATAAACCAGTTGGATATAAGGGTAAAAAATGAGATGTAATTGTTGTCTTTTGTTGATTTTTCTAATATGACACTTTGAATGAGATAATTTAAAAAACCAAAAGATATGCATTTAGTATAATTTTATGCGATTATATGGTTTGTGATAATTATTAAATAAAGAAATTTTAAAAGAAATAAAATTTTATCTGATTTCGAATAGCAAATGTTTTATACGATTCATGTGATACCTCTAACTCGTATGCGGGGATGTATACATATTAAAGGCGTTACATTCAATATATTACAAACCGAAAAATTACAGTTTTTTTCATTAATCCAGGGCAAAATTACTGAAACTTAAAAAGCTTACCAAGATAAGATGAGCAGCTGGAAAAAGTTCAACTTCATGCAACAATATTAAAAACATTTTTCAAAGTGGATCAACTTTGGCTGCCTTAAAAAATTCAACAATTTTGACTAATCAAGCTTTTCTTTCTTTCTTTTCTGGTTCCAACAATGACATCTCCTATATCTTTCCTTCACCAAATCCTTTGTTTAGGATGATTTAAACATCCACCTATAGCTATCTAAATTCAGTGATTAAAGAACATATTATACTCTCTGCCAATATCTTCTAAAATAATTTCTTTTTAGAACTAATATTCTTTATAACCATACTGCAATGACAAGATTAGCAAACTAGTGTAAGGGGTTCAACCCTTCATGTTTTGTTTAGTGGTAATAGGAGCAAATTTGCTTGGGTCACATGCTTGAAACATTGTTGCTTAAATACGCATTTCAAGCCATTAGCTTGAAAAGATTGTTACATGGATATGCATTTAAGTCAATCGTCAGAATTTAACAGAAAATTATTTGAATCATCATCAAATTAGGTTAAAATGATACTTTTTATAATTAGAGTTTCAATAATTATAAAATAACAGTAATGTTTATGGAATGAGTCCATATGTAATTATTTATTATATATTTTAATTTTTCTATATTACTGGTCTTTGAAATATTTATATATACTTTTAAATATTTGTATCAATTTCATATGTATAACATACAAGCATGTACATAGTGGGGGCAGAACCAGGGGTCTGGCGCCCCTTTGTTAAATGGTAAAATTCAAATCAATTTTAAACCCCTTTTCTTCTTGGACATGCACAAAACTCTCATGAACTTCCTTCTTTCAATTCTTTACTTCTTCATTTTAATCCAAAACTTGATTTCAATTCAATTCTAAATTGATTCTTGCGAGCTTTAATAATCCCTTCACAATATATATGCTAGAAACTGAAATACAGAACATGGGATTCACTTGGCCTTTGGTTTTGTTCAATGCCATGGCTTTGATAGAACCCAAGTCATGGACTGCTGGTGCCGTCTGGTCATGGTTATTGCTGCTTTCACCTGTTGTTTTAGAGGTGGTTCGTCGAAGACTAACGAGACATACAGGAAGTATTTCATCAGTTGGGATGACATGAAAGTTGATGAACATAAAACCAGATTGAATACTTCTACTGCTAATCGTAATCAAAGTCGAGTCATCGTAGTCGATAAAAAAGGCAGTGGAGATTCGACCACAAATCAAGGAGCTATAAACATGGTTCCTGAGAATAATCAACAAAGAGTTGAGATTTATATTCTTCCTGGGTTTTACAGGTTTGTGTGTGTACATTTTTCATAATTTACATTCATGGGAAATTTGAACATTGATGAACAATGTGTCTTTTTTACTGGTGATGTTCATTTTGATTCTTCGTTTTGCAAGGAGAAAGTAATTGTTCAGCTTTTGAAGCCGTACATATCGTTTGTCGTGAACGAAAGTCAAATGGCACAACAAAGCTTCTGATAGGTCCAGCCATGGCGGTAGCCTGAAAACTTACAGATGAGCTTCTGTCACCATAGGATCTGATTACTTCTGTGCCACCGAGATCACATTCGAGGTAATATATGAATCACCTTCAGCATTATGCGAGTTTCGGATACGGTTATTGTTGGTTTTTTGGCAAAATCCCACATTGGTTGTATAGAATGAGGAGGGGAAATTCTTTTGTTATAAATAGAGCCCTTCTCCTCCATAGTTTAGTATCTCACAAATATAAGTCTTCTTTACTATTAAAGATTACTTGTACTCTTTCTCTCTTTGTAATATTTCCTCTATTAATGAAATATTATTTTAGTAGTGTTTGAGGAGGTATGTATAATTTTGGTCTAACCTTGTTAAATTTTGGTGTTCTCTTTATGTCTATTTAATAGTTATTGCCGGGTGTAGTTGTTGTTAATTATTGTCCTATTAAAATTATTTGTCTTGGTCTGTCTAAGGAAAGTGGATTTTAAGAGGGACCATTGTGACCACTCCTCTTTCCTGGGAATCTACCTTGTGATGATTTTTAGTACAATCGTTTTCACACTAGTCACCTAGATAATAGTTTTCAAGGTGAATTTGTTATTATTGGTGGAAATTAACCCGAATTTCACAACAATTGGTATCATCGCTCTTGGTTTATTTTAGTATGCTCTGTGGTTGCGGCTTAGGCTGATCTTCCACATCAGAAAAAATTTCCTTGGGGTAATTGACATTCTGCATTGACAGTTATTAAATAGAATTTGTAGCAGAAATGACAGATGACACAAAAACATCAGCAAGAAATGCTGTGACAAATGTTAGATTTGCAGTAGAGATTTTTTATGGCACCAGTCATTTCGGCATGTGGAAAAGTAAGGTTCTAGATGCCCTATTTCAGCAGGGTCTAGACATTGTTATTGAATGAGAGAAACCAGATGATGTTGATGAGAAAGAATGGAAGAGGATCAATAGATTGGCATGTGGTACTATTCGATCGTGTCTTTCTAGAGAGCAGAAGTATGCATTTTCTAAGGAAACTTCTGCAAGTAAATTGTGGAAGACACTGGAGGAGAAATTTTTGAAGAAAAGCGGTCAGAACAAGCTCTACATGAAAAAGAGATTGTTCCGCTTCAACTATGTACCAGGTACCACTATGAATGATCACATTACTAGCTTTAATCAGCTGGTGACTGATCTGATGAATATGGACGTGACTTTTGAAGACGAAGATCTAGCTCTGATGTTGATGAGATCACTTCCTGATGTGTTTGAGTATCTTGAAACTACTCTACTTCATGGGCAGGTTGATGTGTCTCTCAGTGAAGTAACTGTTGCCTTGTATAGTTATGAATTGAGAAAGAAAAACAAACAAGAAATACAAGTGTCGAAGCAGAAGCTCTTGTTGTTAGAGGTCGTTCGAAGAGTCAGAATAAAGGAATAAGAGGGAGATCGAAGTCAAAGTCCAGATTGAGCAAAGATGAATGTTCCTTTTGTCGAGAAAAATGACACTGGAAGAAAGAATGTCCCAGGCTAAAGAATAAAGGCAAACCTGAAAGGGGAAAGGCTATTTCAGAATCAAATATGGTCGAGTATGATGATACAGATTCAGATTTCGCATTCGCTGCTACGCCATTAACCAGCTGTTCCAGTTCATGGCTGTTAGACTCAGCTTGTAGCCACCATATGACCCCCAATAGAGAATGGTTCTTTGATTTTATAGAACTAAAAGGTGGAATTATCTATACAGCAAATAATTCCCCTCTTGACACACTTGGGATTGGTTCAATTCTCTTGAGGAATCAGGATGGATCAATCAAAACCTTAACATGTGTCCATTATGTACCAGATTTAATGAGAAATGTCATCTTTGTGGGAACCTTAGAGTCAAAAGGTTTAGAAGTGAGGGCAAAAGATGGTGATAATGATGGGAATCCAGAAAAGAAACAATGTGTATTACTTTCTGGGCAGTACAATTGTTGAGACAGTAGTAGTGGCAGCTTCTACTGATGAACAGGAGTCAGAAGCAACCAGGTTATGGCATATGCGCTTGGGGCATGTTGGTGAAAAATCCTTGAAATTGCTGATAGATCAAGGATTATTGAAGGGTGATTGGGCTTGCAAATTAGCTTTTTGTGAGCATTGCATCAAAGGGAAGAAGACGAGGGTGAAATTTGGAACAACAATCCATTATACTAAAGGTATTTTGGATTATGTTCATTCAGATGTATGGGGCCTTCCAAGACAACTTCATTGGGAGGAACACACTATTATGTCACCTTTGTTGATGATTTTTCCCGGAGAGTTTGGGTGTATACAATGAAGACAAATGATGAGGTGCTAGGATTTTTCCTTAAATAGAAAAAGATGGTGGAGACTCAAACAGGTAGAAAAATCAAACGTCTCCGTACAGACAATGGTGGAGAGTACAAAAATGATCCATTTCTGAAAGTCTGTGAAGAAGAATGTATTGTCAAGCATTTCACTGTCAGATCTACACCATAACAGAATGGGGTGGCAGAGCGTATGAACCGGACATTAGTAGAGAAGGTTCGGTGTATGTTGTCTAATGCTGTGTTAGGCAAAGAGGCTTTGGTCTATGCTTGTCACCTTGTCAATCGCTTACCATCGACTGTTATTGGTGGTAAAGCACCATTAGAGAAATGGTTTAAAGAACCTGCTACAGATTATGATTCCTTACATGTGTTTAGTTCCACTGCATACTACCATCTTAAGGAGTCAAAGCTGGATCCAAGAGCAAAGAAGACGATCTTTATGGGGATCACCTCTGGTGTGAAAGGCTATCATCTTTGGTGTCTAGAAACAAAGAAAATAATCTTCAGCAGGGATGTTACTTTTGATGAATCTACCATGTTGAGAAAGGTGACTTCAGAAAAATTGGAGCAGACAGATGGAACTCCCAAACAGATGGAGTTTGAAGGAAACAGAATTGACCCAGCCAGTAAAGAAACTGATGTTGACTCTCCTATGATAGAAGAAGAGTCAGATGAAGAAGAGGTTCAGACCCAAGAACCTCCACAGCAACATGAATCAATTGCACTCAGAAAGGGAAAGATGACCATTAAACAACCTGCTCGTTATGCTGATATGATCTCTTTTGCATCACCAATTGCAATTGATGACGTTTCTGCCACTTTTAATGAAGCAGTCCAAAGTTCAAAACATAAAAAGTGGAGGATCGCCATGAATGAAGAAATGCAATCCCTTCAAAAGAATCAGACGTGAAAACTAGCTAGTCTTCCGAAGGAAAAGAAGGCAATTGGGTGCAAATGGGTATATGTAAAGAAAGATGGATTTCCTGACAAGAATAACATCCGCTACAAAGCAATATTGGTGGCTAAAGGCTACGCTCAAACGGAGGGAGTTGATTATAATGAAGTATTTTCTTCAATTGTAAAACATTCATCCATCAGAATTTTGTTGGCTTTGGTAGTACAGTTGAATTTGGAACTAGTTCAGATGGATGTAAAACTACATTTTTACATGGAGACTTGGATGAGAAATCTACATGACTCAGCCAAATGGATTCAAAGTTGCTGAAAAAGAAGATATGGTGTGCAAATTAGAAAAATCGTTGTACGGATTGAAGCAATCTCCAAGGCAGTGATACAAGCGATTTGACAAGTTTATGATAGGGAAGAAGTACACAAGAAGCAAATATGATCATTGTGTGTATTTGCGCAAGCTACAAGACGGATCCTATATATATTTTTTTCTTTATGTTGATGATATGATGATAGCTTCCAGGAGTCAGACATAAATTGCAAAACTAAAGACTCAATTGAATAAGGAGTTTGAGATGAAGGATCTTGGTGAAGCGAAGAAGATTCTAGGCATGGATATATCAAGGGATAAGAAATTGGGGAGGCTTTGTTTGTCTCAGAAAGAATATCTGAGGAAGGTACTAAAACGTTTTGGCATGAATGAGAAGTCAAAACCAGTTAGTACACCTCTTGCTCCTCATTTCAAGCTCGGTGCATCCATGTCACTTAAGGATGATGCAGAACGGGAATACATGTCAAAGGTTCCGTATGCAAGTGTTGTTGGTAGCTTGATGTATGCAATGGTGTGTACAAGACCCGATATTTCACAAGCAGTTGGGGTTGTGAGCAGGTATATACATGATCCTGGAAAGGAGCATTGGCAAGCTATGAAATAGATTCTTCGGTATATTCTGGACACCGTAGATGTTGGTTTGGTCTTTCAGCAGGACAAACAAGATGGTCAGTGTGTAGTTGGGTATTGTGATTCAGACTATGCAGATGATTTGGACAAGCGTCGATCAACTACTGGTTATGTGTTTACATTTGTAAAGGCACCAGTCAGTTGGAAGTCCACCTTACAGTCAACAGTGGCTTTGTCTACTACAGAGGCATAGTATATGGCAGTTACAGAAGCTGTGAAGGAGGCAATTTTGCTTCATGGGTTGATTGGTGAATTGGGAATGGAACAGAAGCACATCAAAGTGCATTGTGACAGTCAGAGTGCTATTAATTTAGCAAAGAACCAGGTTTACCATGCAAGGACGAAGCACATCGATGTTCGATATCACTTTGTACGAGATATTCTAGAAGAAGGTGGAGTCATAATCCAGAAGATTCGGACCACTTAGAATCCTGCTGATATGTTGACAAAAGTGGTAACTGCGGTCAAGTTTAAACATTGTTTAGACTTGGTCAATATTGTTACAAATTTAAAGATGAATTTGCAGACACTACTGAATATTGGATTTTTGAGAGATGTGTGTGGAATTTGCCAAGGTGGAGATTTGTTGGTTTTTGGCAAAATTCCACATTGGTTGTGTATAAGGAGGAGGGAAAATTCTTTTGTTATAATAGAGCTCTCCTCTTCCTTAGTTTAGTATCCCACAAATATAAGCCTTCTTCACTATTAAAGGCTATTTGTATTCTTCTCTCTTTGTAATATTTCCTCTATTAGTGAAATATTATTTTAGTAGTGTTTGAGGAGGTAGGCATAATTTTGGCCTAACCTCGTTAAATTTTGGTGTTCACTTTATGTCTATTTAATAGCTATTGTCGGGTATAGTTGTTGTTAATTATTGTCCTATTAAAATTACTTGTCTTGGTAATTCTGTCTAAGGAAAGTGAATTTTAAGAGGGACCATTGTGACCCCTCCTCTTTCATGGGAATCTACATTGGGGTGATTTTTAATACAATCGTTTTCACACTAGTCACCTAGATATAGTTTTCAAGGTGAATTTGTTATTATTGGTGGAAATTAACCAAATTCACAACAGTTATGTATCTAACACGGGTTGTATTTCCATACCTATGTCTCGATACGCAACTGTTAAATACATATGTTTCAAGAAAAACAAAAAGCCAGAACAACATAGTTTACAACTAACAGAAATGGATATATTTTTTTCTGCAGAATTCAGCAATTGGAGCTCCTGGAGAAACTAGAAAGCAAGCAGTGGCACTCGGGATTTATGGAGACAAGGCAATGTTCTACAAGGTAAAGGTTGTAGGGGGAAAAGACACTTCTAGATGAAACAGGATCACATTGTTTCTACCATAGCCACATTCAAGGCAGTGTCGATTTCATCTTTGGCAAATCAAGATCACTCTACCAGGTAAACTAATTTCATCACAAATTCCAATACAAGATCTGCTAGATTTTTGCTGCACAACTATGAAACTGGGGCTTTAATGTTTGTAAAAAAAGGAATGTTTGATTGAATCCACTGCTAAAAAGATTGGAGCCATTGCAGCACACCACAGGGATTCACCAAATGATACTACAGGCTTCTCATTCGTAAGCTGCATAATAACTGGAACTGGCAAAGTTTTACTGGGTAGAGCTTGGGTAAACTACTCAAGGACTGTATATTCTAACCGTTATCTTGACAATGTCATCATTCCTGCTGGATGGAGTGACTGGAATGAACCTCTGAGGCAAAAGTATGTTCCTCCTTCCAGGAAAATAAAAAATGAATAAAGCTCGATAATTTTTTTATCAAATTTGAATGCAAAAACCTGATATATGAACTTTGATTTTTTTATACACACACACACACACACACATATATATATATATATATATATATATATATATATATATATATATATATATATATATATATTCAGGACTCTAGTATTTGGGGAACAGGATCTGATACAAGGGAAAGGGTGCCATGGTCAAGGAAACTTGGTTATGAAGAAGCTAAACCTTTTATGGACATGAAATTTATAGATGGAAAACAATGGCTGAAACTATAAATTCTCTTATTTTTATTATTTAAGGCCAAGCCTAATCTGCCACATACACATATATATTTCTTTTTCTTAATGAACTCGATAAAGCCAATCATTTAAGTTCTTTATATTCTTTGCATGTTATAAAGAAACAGAATGTTATATTTCACACAAACGGTAATGACTGCTTTCAAGTCGTCTTCTCCACGTCGATGTGTACTGGAAATGGACAGTTACCTGTGTACTCTTACATCAAAGATATTGTCATCGTGAAACTTCAGTGATGCTGTTGCTGCTGGTATTGGAGCTGGTATTTATATTGTAAAGATTACCAGGAAGAAAAACAGCATCACTTGACCTCAAAATGTGATTTACCCAGATATCCCCCCTCATCACTCTATACTGACCAATAAACATAAAGAAGTGTAATAACCAACCACAAAAACAGTTGAAAATACCTCATATTTAACCAGGAAAAATCAATTGACTTGGACAAGATGAAGCAACTTGGCATTTATGTGATGTTATTTCTCATGTGCCGCGATTGGGAGCTGAAGTCGATATAGGAGGGCCATGTGAAAATCTCCATTGATCACATGCCGAGCATTTATCCAGTTTCACAGAGTTTTCCAAGGTGCAAAACTTGCAGGACCAAAATTTGTACTTGGTGCCAATGTCTCTGGGCTTTTCAATAAAGCAAAGCTCACATATTGGGGCTAATGACTGCAACGTTTTAACATCAAGGATGTGCAAAGTAAGCTTCTATTAGGGTAAATAAAACAAAAAATAACATATATTCTCCAGTTCAAGATGCAAAGAAGTAACACAATGAATCTCTCACTAAAAAACATGGTCCATGCCAACATAAGTATATCATGGCCTGTGGATATTAAATTGCTCAACAAGCTTCAATTGATGAGTATTAAGAACAATCAGAGTCAAAAGTATACTATAAATGGGCCGAATGCCAATCAGAATAAGACCATACAGCTTGGAAAGCAAGACTAAGCATGCGAACATGGACATTATAAATTAGTGTACCCAGAATGTTTCAGCACATAAAATTCAATAGAAAACATGGTGAACATTTATGCTAAACGATATGACATTCCCCTATAAGCAACATATATGAACAAAGTGATATTGATGCATGAAACACTTACAGGATTCAATAAAGTGCAGGATTTGCATTCCCACATGGCAGTTACTCCTTGATTATCCGGAGAATCATCATCCACTGTGGTGACAGAAGACGAGGCGCTTGAAGGAATAAGGTTATTGGATTTACAGATTCGTTTAGGAGATTTGGCACCTTGGTGAAAAGCAGATCCAGATACCAGAGGTGTAGTTAAATCCACAAAGTTGGATTCTGGTTTATCTTGCCTGTGGCCTCGTTTAATAGAGGTTCCACCAAAAGCGTGTCCACTGGAACCATCTTTGACACTCAATTTCTCAGCCCCTTGATCCGATTGCAAATGATCCTGCAAAGTATCAGCACAGCTTTCTTCATCTCCAGCAATCTCAGAACAATGAGAACCGCACCAAAGATCATCTTGTAATCTCCTTTCTGCAGCCATTGCAGCTGCTTGTATGGGGCTGAGTGCATCCTTAATGGTGCTGTCACCACCAAGACGTTTAGGTCCAGAAGGTAATAGAGACCCCAAGCGTGCTCTGTTCTCTGCTGCAGCTAATGCAGTCTGGCGAAGAGATGAGAGTGGAGGTTGTCGGGAAAACCCACCCAAGCGCTTCCCAGGAAGATCAAACCCCTCCCCTGTGCCAGTTATTCCTTTAGACACGAGCTCCTCACATTCCTACAACAATATAACAAGGAAAAATACAAAGACATAATAACTAGCATGCTGCCCTTGTTAAATATAGATTCTCCAAATTATTTCATATATCAAGATTCTAAACAAAGATCGTCTTTCTTAAAACCTTAACTAACTTGTTACTTAGTTGTTGTATTTCCAGAAACACAAGTAATCAACGACAATTAGGAAAGAATAAAAAGAACAGTGGAGAGGAGAGATCAATACAATTATCCGAAGAAGACATACATCCCAAATGGATTAAAACTAACAAAGAGCTCAAAAACATTGCACACAACAATCAAATCATTCAATGAACATATCCTCAAGCAGCTTTTCATTTTCCACATAGATAATATCCAATCATGAATCAATTTATAGGCGATATCTTAACAAACGCCATAAACACATATTAATGATTTTAATAATATGATCTTCACAGACCAGAATCTCTTATTTGATAACCGGTTCCAACACAACAGCATGAACTTAAACATTAACGAGAAAATTTGTTATATAGACATGAACCATCCATAAAATAGCATTTGGCACTGAACATGATGATTAGGGACAATCTAAAAGAATGAAATTTACCTTTCTAAGTTCATCCCAAAGCTTGTAAAAACTAGCATTATGAGGACCATGAGCATTATGGCAAAGCTCGTGAAGCATTGTATCAAGAACCTGATCAAAGGGATAAAAATCCCAATCCCGGTTCGGTCTCCTTAGCCTTAACTTGACGTGGATGCCACGTCCCACGTTCACCCCTAGCAAAGCTGGATTATTTGGACTATAAATAAGAAAAAAATATCAAAATAAAATTCAACATGATTGGGGGAAATAATCTTCGCCTTTAACAAAATAAAAGATACAAAAATGAATAAAATTAAACAGATACCAGAATTCTGAGAGGACCTTGACTCTCCATTTATGCTTGCGCATAATGGGTTGAACTTGATTGGCTATTTTCTCTAAGAATCTTTTGGCTTCTTCTTCTCCAGGTTTCCTCTTCAATGCTTTGATTTCCCAAACCTTGTGTAAATCTCCCGAATTCATTTTCCTTTTCAGCCAATTCTGGGCAAAATCAAAACTCTTGATTTCAAAAAGGTTTAAACTTTGGGGATGATAGCGAACCCGTGGATTTTTGGGTTTTTATTTGGTAGCGAGATTTTTCAAATGGGTTTCCGTGGGAAGAATCCGTTTGGGTGCTGAATTTAGTAATTAATTGATTTGAACTAAATATTATAAGAGCTCCGTGACAAAAAAAAAAGTATTATAATATATGATTTTAACTAATTTTTTTTGAATTTGTCAAAATGATCAACAAAATCGCAATGCGAAATAAAAATCGTAACGCGATCTCCAGAATCGTAAATCAGTTCCCAGAATCGCAACGCGATTATGAATAATCGCAATGCGATAGTACAAATTCGCATTGCGATTTTCCATAATCGCAACACGAATATGAAAATCGCAACGCGAACATATAAATCGCAACGCGATTCTAACTATCGCAACGAGTATCCGTAAAATCGCAACGCGTATCCGTAAATCGCAACGAGAATACGTAAAATCGCAACGCGTATTCGTAAATCGCAACGAGAATACGTAAATCGCAACGCGGAAATCGCAACGAGAATACGTAAATCGCAATGTGTATCCGTAAATCGCAATGCGAATACGTAAATCGCAATGCGAATACGTAAATCGCAATGCGAATCTGTAAATCGCAACGAGATTCTGACTATCGCAATACTGAATTTCAAATTCGCAACTCGATTTCTGAATTCGCAACAGGTTTTAATTTTGCAACACAAATGTTTTGGGTATATAACTACGCACGCACCAGCAGCAACTCATAACATAAATCCATAAATCGCAACTCATTCCATCTCCATCTATCACTCTCTCCGGCGACATCCGTTCCTATATCCAACGACATCCTTCCCCATCCGGCAACAGGTTTTAGTTTCGCAGCTAGTTTGTTTAATAAATTATTTTACAATAATGAAATCATCTAATGTTGATCATGTTTGGATAGATTTGTGTTTTGGAGGGTCATGGGAGAATGTTCATGGTGTTTTACAATATATGCCTTTACACATGAATCTTCAACTAAAACTGTCATTAAAAAAGTTAACTTATGAAACTCTAATGTTACGTGTTGCAAATAAATTGAATTTAGAGCCCCTAAGTGGATTTAGGCTATCTTATCAGAGAAATGGTAAAGTTTATTTGTTAACCGACAATGAAGATGTTGAACGATTCATTGCTTACATTAGTGTTTCAAGTGATGATGTTACATTGTATGTTGTTGAACCTAGAAGGTAGTGAAGTTGGGTCAGTAACGGGTAATAATCAACTAAGTTTTTCAACCCCAGTTTATGGTGCTCAAAATTTAATAGTTCCACCACAATTTCATCACCAAGCAAATATTGTTTCACCACATTTCCAATATCAAACACAATCTCAAAACCCACAACCTTTCCCTAATCTAAATCCCAATCAACTTTCAGCACCAAATTCCGGTTTTCGTATTGACCAGTTAGACGATGATGAGACAACAGAAAAAATTGTGAGTACTAGTCAGTATTTGAAATTTGATCTTGGTCAATACCCAGACTTTGATCTTGGTAAATACTCGAATTTTGATGATTTTTCAGAAGAAGAAACAAAAACTTGCGTGTAATGATTTTGATATTGGTCAATACCCGAATTTTGATGATGAAACAGCCGTTGCCGAGGAAGATGTTGTTGATGATAATGAGGAGGAAGTTACGACTGTAAATGAACATGTTGAACATCCATTCTGTAATTCATATAACACTGAAGAAGAAAAAGAAGAAGAAGAAATCCCCAAAGAAAAGTCCCCGAAGAAAATGCCACGGGAGTATAACTGGAATATGCCAGAATTACTTCAGATACCGGAAGAAGAGTTGGTAAAGATAGCAGTTGATTGTTACACAAAAATTATTCGTATCAAGAAAGATGATTGTTTTGATACAAAGGAAGACTTGAAGATAGCTTTGTATACGAAATGTGTGGAAGATGGCTATCAAAGTTAACAAATCAAGCAAAGATCGTTTCGAAACAAGGTATATGATTGACAAAAATTGTATGTGGCGTATGATTGCAAAGAGGATAAAAGATTGCTAAATGTTTCAAGTTAGGACTTTTATTGATAAACATACATGTTCAAGAACCCAGGTTTTTCCTCACCATAGACAGACAAACAAAAAGGTGTTGGGTGGTTTTCTGGCTGAGTTAATGTTTTTGAATGGTAGGGTATATCGGGGACATGAAATTATGACTGACATGAATGCTCGGTTCAAGATTAGTATCTCATATTCTCAAGCTTGGAGAGCCAAATGTTATGCCTTGGAATTGTTGAGGGGGTCGCCAGAAGCATCGTTTGCCCAACTGTCGGCTTATTGTCACAATTTAAAGCTGAAAAATCCTGGGTCGGTAACTCATATCAAAACAGATAGAGATGGACGCTTGGAGTTGCTGTTTATCGTCATTGGTGCTACGGTTAGTAAATCAATATAATTTTGTTGACTCATTTTTGTTAGTTACATGCATTTCACATTTAAATGATTATATTTCTTGTGTATATGATTTTGTAGATTCGTTCATTTATTAATTGCATGCGCCCAATTATTATAGTTGACGGAGCACATTTAAAAGGTCGATACCTTGGAGTAAACTTATTAGCAGTAGCCATGGATGCTAACAATGGGATACTACCAATAGCTTACGCGGTTGGTAAATCTGAAACCTCTGATTCATGGACATGGTTTATGGGGCATCTTAGGGATTGCATAGGTCCTATTAGCAATCTGACAATCATATCCGATAGGGCAAACTCAGTTGACAACGCTGTTAGAAGGTGTTTCCCAGATGCTTTCATGGACTTTATGGTGTTCATTTGTATAGAAATCTAAAATCAAGGTCTGCTGGTATAAAAAATCACAAATGGACATACTGGAAGGCTGTAAAAGCTTATCGGGAAGTGGATTTTAATAAGCATATAAACTGTTTAAGACGTGTTTTGCCTCAGTGTGCTCAAACACTAGAAGATGTCGGATTTGAAAGATGGTCAAGAGTACATCAACTTGGAGCAAGATATGGTTTCATGACATCTAATAGTGCAGAATCAATCAACGCTCTAAGTCGTCATTCTCGGAAATTACCCATTACTATGTTAATGGAGTTTTTTCGAGCCTCTATTCAACAGTGGTACTACAAGAAAAGAAACCATGCAGGTATTATTTCTTTAAATTCGTAACTTATCATATATTTACTAAGTATTATTTATTTAATTTACAGGAACATTGGAACATCGTGTTACACCATGGACAGAAAAAAAAGATAACGAAACGTGTTGTGAAGTCAACGTCATGGAGAGTTGAACCATGTTCAAACACTTTGTTTGAAGTACTGGATAATAACTAAATGGCTTGTCGATCTAAATGCAAAGACGTGTAGTTGTATGAAATGGCAAACATCTGGTTATCCGTGTGGCCATGTTATAAAAGTTTCTCTTCATCTAAACCAAGATGATTCAAGCGCATACGCTATGGATTGCTACACTACAGAAGTATATCGACAGACTTATGGCGAGATTGTCTACCCTATTCCACATCCTTCTGAGTGGGACATACCAGATGACTTACAAACAGTTTTGCCACCAGCCATGGACAGAAGGCTACCTGGTCGACCAAAAAGTCACGATCGTATACCGTCTAAGGGTGAAGAGAAGAAGAGGTCGACATGTAGTCGGTGCAAGGAAAGTGGTCATACAAGGTTGACATGTGGATCACCAGTGCCATCACAATCATCTTTTCCTCTACCAAAATATGGATCATCATCAAATCCAAAGCTCATATGGTGTCAAGAAAAAGGCAATCAAAATCGCAATCATCTTTAAAATCCCAATCACAACCGGCTTCAGTTTTTGAGACTGTTAACTTAGGTGATTTTTAAATGCAAACATTGTATTATGTGGATTTTATGTGTGAACTTTTAACATTTTCAGTTAGGCATGTATTAGTAACTTGAGTTTGAAAATTGCTATGATATGTTCAGTTGTTATCACTTATTAGGCATTCATTTGACTATCGCAACACGTAATTGACGTTCGCAATCATCTTAATGTCTATCGCAACGCGAAAATTACTATCGCAACGAGAGAATCGCAATGCGAAATGAAAATCGCAACGTGAAAATCGCAACGCGATTTTAGTTTCGCGTTGCGATTTTGTCGTTGCGATTTTAATTTCGCATTGCGATTCTCTCGTTGCGATTTTCATTTCGCATTGCGATAGTCATTTTTTCCTTCAATATAATGCAGATTGAAATCAATAAAATCAACCATTACATTTCAATCAATTAAACAAGAACAAATAAGAATTATGTTCACATCAATTAAACAAATCAATTTTTACAAATCATCTTTTACAAATCAATTAAACAATCAAAAAATAAGCAATAATTCTTATTTCCTCATCTACTATTGAATCAACTTTTGCAGCCATACATCATTTTCACGCAGAAACCAAACATTTGCTCAAACAACACTTTCTACACATCTAAAACTTACAAACAGCAAATTATTGAATTCTAGGTACTTAACCAAACATTTTCAAACCAAAATCCTATAAACTTACCAATTGTTTATGGACACTTTCATAACGCGAATGCAGGTAGGCAGCGTCTCGCATATATCGCTCTAGCCATAAAATGCCGAAACCACAAGCCTACTGCACCTCTATCTCTATCGGTGGGAGGTAGAAAATGTGTACTTCCTGTCGTCAAACGCTCCAAGCACATGCATACGAGAGGACCACAATCCCCTCTGGCTTCCTTCGTTTTTTGTGGTGCGGTCTCGTCTCTGCTAACTGTAATATTGAGCTTCTTTAGCTTCTTGTTTCCAGAACGAGTCCAATAATTTATCGCATCCAAAATTTAGCCAAATGAGAGCTCCATCCCTTAATAATATCTCTTAAATCAGCCAATGATATGTAATTTATCATGCTGTCATATACTATTGCCTTAAGGGATGGGAGCTGAAGCTCGACGAGAATCCAATGTTTACTTTCCAAAACAGGGATAAACACCTGCAATCATAAGTAATAATTCATTCATTTGCGCACTTATTTATGAATACCTTTAAACTCATCTAAAATAAATACTAACCTTATCGACCTCCCACCATGCAGGATAAAGTTTAGCTTGTCCATTGCCCAACGCAAATGATTCATCTCGTTGATTCTTCAAGTGAACGGCGTTAAAAGACGTCGGCATGATGTATATCGTGTATTTCTTTTATTTTCTTAGGTTTCCTAATTATTAGAAGACGTGACACCCACGCATCGATATGCTGTTTTACAAAAAAAGACATATATTAGTGACTTACATAAATTTAAAAAAAATCAAATTGAAATATAAGAAAAATATAAGACTTACCCCCTCCATCGAAATAGCCATTGTCTTCTACCCCTATAATACGCCCCACCAAGACCGATCAAGCAACAAATGGATATCATCGTTGAGCTTGCATATGTCAGTGAAACACCCCTGGCTCCGCTCATTAGATAAAATCACTGCGGTCTTAGCCCAAAGGGTGTTATCCAAATTGTGTCCGGTAGTTGTCTCCTCTCCACTTCAATACCGAATGGTACTGGCCGGTAACTCATACGAGAGCCAACTCTTATCCATCATGTCCGGCACGTCAGAGGGTTTCTCAAGAATCTTACATATGACGTCATGTGAATCGGGCTCTTGAATGGTGGGAGGGACCTCTTCAACGATGACAGTGGCCTCTTGAACGGTGGGAGGGACTCTCGAGGAATGATAGGGGCCTCTTCAACGATAGAGTGGACTCTTGAGGATGACAGGCGAGTCGGCTTCTTCTTGCGGTGTCTTCGCACTATTGGGGTGTACAGAGACTTAATAGCACTGCACGCCGTCTGATGCGTGAACTCCGTCGTGCAAGAAAAACCCGACGTAAAAACCCACCTTATCGGGCCGCTAAATATTAATACAAAAATCAGTAATAAACAGACATGATATTTAAACAGTGAAAACAAAGACAAATACTAACTTCACAGTGTTAAAGAATAAACAGTTTAGCAGTATTGGCAGCAACCGAATAAATTTACTAAGCAATCTAAGTGAAATGGTTAATCTAAGTGAAATTACGAGTAAATTTATCATCAAGTTAATATGGAAAATCTTAACTTGCCTCGTTGCGTTAGAGTATGAACCTCATTCTGCAACGATACTACCATCTCATGTAGAGCGACAACCTCACCACGTAAAGTAGACACCTCCACACGCCATGCACCATCGTTATCGCGTAGAGTACCGATCTCCTCATACGGCATTGACCTCATCACGTAACTCCCTTGACTCATCCCGTGGAGGTGGAGAACAGGGAGATAGAAGTCGTGGCATCTTAGCCGGTCGCCTATCATGAGGTGATGGTGGAGAAGATGCTCGATGATGTGACGGGATAGGTGATAGCTCTCGTTGTAGAGGTGTATAGTCGGGTCGATCAAGTGATGGCTCTGTGTGAGGTGATGGCTCTCGAAGTGGAGGAAGTGGAGGCTGCTCATCATTCGTGCCATCAAAAAAACGCTGACTACTTGCCACAAATCAGTGGCAAGCTCAGCCTCCGTGGGTGTCAGTCTCTGTAATGGAGTGTTGGCCTCCTAAAAATATAAAAACTCAAACAAAGTTAAACTCTACTATGATAGTATTTGTTAACTTACATTATTTATTGTCGCATATGTATTAAGTCTTCCCAATCCAACAGACGTTTCCTCTTCAAGGAAATAGCCCTATGAATATCATTTGAAGTTTTTAATGCAAATGTCCGCATGCTGGGGAAAGCCTCGAATATCCAAATCTACAAAATATAATAACAAACATTAGTAATTGTTAAATAATTAATTATAATTTTGAAAACATTATATAGAATTCTTACCTTAAAGGCCCAAACAAAGCCTGACAAGTGTATTTCGACCCATCGCCACACAAACTTTTGCGGTCATCAAAGGCAGACGACAACTTAGTCCAGGTAACTTTCCATATATACAACCCCACGGAAACAGATTCCATGCATTTAGGTCCTCTACCAATAATATTAGCTCCTGAGGAATATGTTGTATGGCCTCTCTGCCTAAAAAGCCGGCATACACAAGTACTAGAAGGCATACTCGACAACATCGACGTCATTCATCAGAGTAAAACCATCTTTCTTATTAAACAATTTCTTCAGGTCTCGATGTGTAAGTTCGGCTTCTCTATTGACTCATCAGGAAAAACCCGGATACCATGATGGGCGGGTGATATGATAAGTGTACCGGCCTACATCATCGTGTCCGAATCGTAGACCAGTGATTAAGCAGAACCCCTTCCGCCCAAATCTCTTCCTCACCACGTTGTATACTGTAGATCGCTAGTCATGGTCTGAAGCCACAAATGGGTCAAATTAGCATCTCCACCCTGTACTCTCAGCCATGGCCCGAAGCAGGTTTCCTCAAAAAAATTTCTTTGTGCAAGTGAAAGCTTCGAAGCAATTGTAGTGGCTAGGCTAACTTTATTCCTTAATGTCAATGAAGCCGAAAAAATTTCTACAAAAACAATAAACATACCAAGTTAGATATACCAAAAACTACACTGTAAAGATACCAAAAACAATAAAATAAAGAGTAGTAGTTTATTCTTGAAACTAAAATTTGCAACATTGTTTTGTCTTTTGGTTGAAATGAAAATCGCAACGAGAGAATGAAAATCGCAACGCGGAAATGACTATCGCAACGCGAAATGAAAATCGCAATGAGAGAATCGCGTAGCGAAATTAAAATCGCAACGCGAAATGAAAATCGCAATGCGATTTTGGTTTCGCGTTGCAATAGTCATTTTCGTGTTACGATTTTCATTTTCATGTTGTGATTTTAAGTTTAGAAACTATTATTATTCTGCAAATTGAAACTTTAATGGATTGCATTACTTCAACCAAAAGACAAAACAAAGACAAATACTAACTTCACAGGGTTAAAGACAAATACTTATCATCAATTTCAATATGAAAAACCTAAAATAATGCAAAAATTTCAAAATAAAAATAATTAAAAAAACTAACCCTCGGAGGTTGATTTTCCATTTCTGAATGATTGTGAGGGATTTCTGACCGTGAATGGTTATGAGGGATTTCGTCAGAGATGGGGACGGAAATCTTCAGAGATGGGGACGGATTTCGTCGTAGAGAGTGAGAGATGGAGATGAGACTGAGTTGTGATTTTTTTTAGGTTTTAGGTTATGAGTTGCGATTACGGGAGTGGACGGTTCAGTGTTCCGATAATTAATATTCGTGTTTGGAATTTGAAAATAAAATACGCGTAGCGATTATAATGGCGCTTTAAAAATCGCGTTGCGATTTACGTATTCACATTGCGATTTACGGATACGCATTGCGATTTACGTATTCTCGTTGCGATTTACAGATACGCGTTGCGATTTACGTATTGTCGTTGCGATTTTACGTATTATCGTTGCAATTTACGGATACGCGTTGCGATTTTACGGATACTCGTTGCGATAGTCAGAATCGCGTTGCGATTTATATGTTCGCGTTGTGATTTTCATATTCGCGTTGCGATTCTGGAAAATCGCAATGCGAATTTGTACTATCGCATTGCGATTATTCATAATCGCGTTGCGATTCTGGGAACTGATTTGCGATTCTGGAGATCGCGTTGCGATTTTTATTTCGCATTGCGATTTTGTTGGTCATTTTGGCAAATTCAAAAAAAATTGGTTAAAATCGTATATTATAAGACATTTTTGGTCACTGAATTTTTCATATTATAAAGATTTGTTATAAAAATAATTCGTTTTTTCATTTATTATGGTTATTTTTTTTTATAAAATAATGGTTACTTAAACCTTACATATTATTTAAAATTTAATCTTTTATTTTATTGAATCAATTAACAATTAATTCTTAAAATTATACTTATTTCATAAATTGAACGTCAGACCTTCTTTCTTATCTCTATGTAATCTATTTAATTTTTAATTTATTTCTTGCTCTAAAAATAGCATTATAAAACCAATACACGAAACTCAACCAGCATGGAAATTATATAATAAAAAACACACAAAAAAAAGTGAAAAACTTTAAAATTTTCCATTTTTTTCAAAAATTGGATCTTTAACACTATAATTTATTTATTGTTTTCCGATCAAAAGCTAAAAAACCCTTACAAGTTTGACTCTACCCAAGAAAATCAAATGGTAGGAAAGCTGGAGTTGTTCATCGTTATGGTAGTGTTATAAGCCAAGGTGGGTCTTTTTCATCAATCGTTTTTAGCTGAAGAACATCAAAAACAACGATGGCGGGGATAGCAATATTGCAAGATCTATACTGGAAAAAACCAAAGCTTTTGCTCTAAACAAAGCTTCCACTCTTCTGGGTCCTTCTCTGCCTCCGCTGCAGCCGTATCAGCTGCAGCTACCGTCGCTGCCGGAACCCTTTTGTTTCCTGCTTCCTTTTTGGG